AGAATACGGTAGATCTCCGCAAAACACTGATAAAAACCTACCTTAGAGATCATCTTGTAAGCGCTCACTTGTATATGCCCTTTTTGTTAGCACATCTCTAATTTAGCAATAAACCTCTTAATTATTTTTTCAGTTCAAAAGAAAAGCGCGATGTCCCCTATGTAAGGGCTTTAATGGTCAGATTCGGAATGATGGAGCGCGATGTGTGTTGATTGACTTCACCGTGCATGGAAAGAAGAGAAAGAAGGTATGATTCTTCCAAAAGTTTCTGTGTTCTGTGGTGATACATTTTGTCGTTTGAGCTGGACATCTACAAAAGTGGTTTTGAAGGAGAAGATCTGGAGGAAGAAATCCACTCTTCGGATGACGAAAAAGGTCTGTCATGTTATAGTGTATTTAAACACAACGAAAAAGTTGGGATTATCGGTGTGGAATCCTCAACATGATCTTCTCTTTTCACTCAAATCTTTGCTTTAAAGTTCTTTGTTGTTTGGTGCGAATCCCCTCCTTTGCTATATAATTCGCTTTATTCCTTGACTAGTCTCGAGTTGTGTTTGGTATGTTTATCTATCCCATTTTCTTTAGTAACTCTAAAATTTAATGAAGCTGATCATTTTAATTTAGCATCCTCGAGTTTCTGGCTCCACTTTCTTTTCAACCTTTTGTATAGGGAATTTTCCCTGATATTTTGCCCATGAGTAACTTTTTCAGATAAGAAGACAGCTTTGCTGAATGATGTGGGCTATGGAAATATGGAAATGGCTGAGGGTGCGCTGGAGTTGCAAATGCGAGCTGTGCAGAGTGGAGCTTGTGAGAAGGTTAGTCCAAGCACTAATCATATTTGTTCTCATAGCTTTCTCTTTTTATTTAAGCTTGCTTGGCGTGCTGCTGAAATCCGGGAACATTTTCGATTATTGTACAAAAATGAGGGAAAACTTCTGCTCAAGCTGTTTCCCATGCTTAATGATGAAGGCGTGGGTTACTTTACTGTTCTACTTCATTTCATTATTGGTCATCTTGTGGTATATATTGATTAGAATACTGCATAAACAGGCTGGTGGTTTATGCCCTCTTGATGGTCTTTTTTGTGAACTGATTATGGTTCCTCCCACCAAATTTCGACCCATAAGGCTTTTCAAAGGCGAGCGCTACGAGAACCCACAGTCAGTAAATTTACGAAGAGTTTTGGAAGCGACGGAGACCATAAAGGTATGTAGTCTTTGTAGCAATTATTTTGCAGTGTAAACGTTATTCTCTTTTTTCT